GCCCATTTTCCTGATCACATCCCTCTCGCCTTTCATTATAGCAATATGTCTGTACAATGATCTCCCCCAGTTACCATCAACTTTCTATATTTGCTATTTCTGTATTTAGCTTTAAATTAATCTGACTTTCTCTTGGCTTTTAGCAGATCTAGTAGTAGTGACCACTTAAGTTCAAACCACTGTGCTAAAAAGTAGCTTTCTAAGTATTGCAGCTTTCTTCGAGTGATGCTTATGTCCATTCAACGCAGGTGTGTGCGCTCACCACACGTACCGGTGCTGGAAGATTTTTCCTCAGCAGTATCCATAAGGAACCGGGTCCTAGCACCTCCTGCAGTGGCAAGCATATGCTGCGCTATATAGGGAGTTCCCAGGTTTAAATCATTGAGAGTTCATAGTCTTTGTAAATAGTTAGCCCCCCCCCCCCACTGGGCTAGCCCGGGAGATGGGGTATGCTCCGGGGTCTCAGGTTTAAACACTTGCCAAGTGTCGCAGGCCTGTGCCTGTTAGTAACCCTCACGAAAACTGCCTCCGCTGCTTGGGTGAGGGCCACATCAGCAAGAAGCGCTGCATTTGTAGATCCTTCCATCCTAGGACCTTTCAGGACAGAGATACTAGATTTAGGCACCGCTGATGAAGTCGGTTTTGGCTCCTCAAGACCACCGGCGGTTTGTCCCTGGGCTTTAGGTTGGCATGTCCCCCTGGCACCGACAGTGTCTTGGCACTGGGAATCTTCAGGGGTCCCGACAAAGGAGGGCAGGACATCAGAGACTTAGACCCGGCCACACGGCACTTAGACCCAGACAGCCAGGAGCTGGGCCCGGCCGTTGGCAGCCTCATGGCGCTTAGAGCCGGAAGCTGAGCCCGACTGTTGGAAATAGACAGTGGCTCATCAGACACAAAGGCCAGGTAAAAAAAGGCACGTGCTGGCTGATCTCAAAATGTTCATCCCTTTTTTTCAACAATTCCATCTGCCATTTTCCATGCCATGGAAACAGGGGCTGAAAGTCAGTCACCATCTGGGTGCTAGAACTATGTCTTGTCAGACTCAACAGCAGGTGTCCAAAGGAGAGCCAAGACTATTGGTTTCCATAAATCACGTGCACAATTTAGGAATCCAAATGTATTTCTCCTAGAAAAAAATATTAAAGAAAAGAATACAAATCTTGAAGTGTCTTTACACACAAGATTTCTTGCAATACAATTTTTTGGTTAATTTTATTTACATGTTTTGACAGAACATTTTCTGAAAACAGCAACATTCTTTAGCAAGTTCAGATTTACCAGATAATTTATTAGGGCCCAAAACTGTGGTCCACGGACACCTAGTGGTCTGCAAGTGTATTGCTGGGGGTCTGTTGAAAGTTTAAAAATAATGATCGGGCCCATTGCAATGAGCCCAATCCTTACTTTTATTTCCCCCCTCCCCCGTTTCTTTTCCTTTTATTTTTTTTTCTCCCCTGGAGGGTGGGTCTGTGAAATTTTAATACATTGAAAAGGGGTCCGTATGCTTGAAAAGGTTGTGAACCACTGGATTAGGTGATCTCACAACACACTCAAACTGTGAATTTACCAATTCAACTGCATGCCATATCATGTGACTTCCTGCCTTATTCAGGAACAAATACATAATCATTTAAAAAATGTATGCCTTGAATATATTGTTAGTACCTACTCCTGGAGTGTGCCCTGGACCCCTATTAAAGCCCCTATAGGACTCTCCCCAGAAATAAAGGCTGCAGGATTTATTGCTTAAGAGACAGATTTATATGCCCCCCTGTTTATTTTAAGAACAGATTAAATCACCTATTTCAGCAAAGCATATTCAGTGTTTTTGCTATACCTTGTAGTAGCAGATACAGTGCTAAAGTATTTATTTTTAAATATTAGCTTTACTTTAAATAATCTTTAAATATGGTTTTAATTGAGTTTGGGCAGTCTTTAAAAGCAGTCTGTAAGACTAAATACATGAGATACTAGCTCTAATTCTAAATTAATTTGTAAATGTGAAATTTATTAGATAATGGGACAACAGACATTTACAGGATACCTTCTGAGCCACCTATCACTCAGCACTTGGCAATAAAATCAGTTGACTTCAGTGTGAAAATACCTCTCAGCAAGAAGCAACATCAAAAGACAAGCAATTTCTGCCAGTGAGAGAGGCAAGCTTTTGAGCTTGAAAGCTTGCCTCTCTTTACAACTGAAGTTGGTCTAAGTACCTCTCGCACCCTGCCTTGGAAAATGTCTAAATCCCCTAAAATGTTTTGAAAATCTTGATTTACGTGCACAGAATTCTCTCACATTCCACTGAAATGTAATTCTTATAATACAGATGTCATTCTATAGCATCAGTGCTATGCAACCCCATTTTTAGAAAGCAGGATGAAAAATAATGTATCCAGTTTGTTGAGAAAAATGACTGATGAGTTTTATCCAGCTCTTAGGAATTACACTCCTTGAAGGAGAGGAAGAAGAGATGGATTTAAAAAAAATTAATTGCAATAAAGCCAGTTATAATTACAGTGCATCATAGGGATGTAAGCGACTGGTTGCTCCCCCCCCCCTCCCCGCCCTTGCTGCCTCTATCAGAGGCAGCAATGAGGGAGAACAGGAGCCAGTGCTGGGTGGAGCCAGCTTAAAAGCCATCTCTGCGGGGGTAAGAGGGTAGTGGGGACCTGGCGTGAGCCAGGAATCAGCTGATTGCCGGCTCATGCCCAGTCCCAGATGCTGCGCTTCTGCTTTTTAAATGTATTAAGAACCTATCGGCTAAAGCACAGCAGGAAAACCCAGCATGAGCCGGGAAAGCTGATTCCCAGCTAGCACCAGCCTTTTAAATGTATTAGACACCAACAGAACACCTGATTCCCGGCTTGTGCAGGCTCCCCTGGCTCTTAATACATTTAAAAGGCGGGTGCGAGCCAGAAATCAGCTGTCACGGCTCACGCTCGGTCCTTCCTCTTGCGCTTTAGCCTTTTAAATGTAGACAGGCTTTTCAGACATTTAAAAAGCAGAGCTGCAGCGGGGTTAGCTCCCGAGCTGGGAGCTAACCCAACTGCGGTTCCCCTGCTTATTGACTAGTCAATAGAAAATCCATCGACTAGTCAATTAGTTTCTTAAACTAAATGTAACATCCCTAGTGCATCATTGTTTGTGTTCATACGTATGAATTCCATCACGGTGTTCTGCTTTATACAATGATACACTGTAAATGTGGACAGTTCAATAGTTAGAAAAACTTTCAGTTGTGCAGACCTCCAGTGTAATAAAGTGGGTTATTCATTTGCCAGTAAATCATGTGCCTATTGAGAAAAGGAAAGTAAATTATAAATAAATAAAAATAGTAGGCAAAAGAGTCTATTTTTGCATTTCCTCTCAAATTGTAAGTACAACAGAGATTAGTCTTCCGGGTTTCTGAGTTCACCTTTGGGCTTCAATCCAGCACCTTACAATAACAAGTGGGTGTCTTCTTGATGTGTTGGTCTTTTTTGCATTTATTTTGGGGAAGTATAAATAGGAAAGGAAAATGAATAAAGATTAAACCCCTATTTAGTGATTGCAAATTGGAAGTCATCCCAGATGATTAACTTAATTAGGTGCTCTCTTAATTCCCTACATGAAACAATAATTAATTCAAAGGTTTTTCCTTTAAATCTACTATATATTTAAGAGAGTGTGTGCCTCTGTATGTCCATCCATGTGTCCATACGTCCGTCTGTCAGTCTATTTGTTCAAGAACTCCTAAATGGTAAGAGGTAGGATTACCAAATTTGCTATTCAGCTTCCTCTTATCCTAACTTAAAGTCAGGGTTTGCTCGTGCCAGAATAATGGATTATTATGCCTGGACTCTGATTGCTTCTTATAAAAACCATACAGAAAAGAGACAGGAGCACCAGGCAGGTGAAAGGGACTGGCTGGGGGTGTGTGTCCCCCTCGGACTGCCACAGACTCAAGCCACCCACCCCTCAGGTGCCCTTTAGGGAGGGTGGAGGGGGCTGAAGTCCCCTACCTCGGTTCATACTGGGATGATGCTGGCTATTCTCCTTCGTCAGGGAGCAAGGGGAAAATGCACAGTTTGCTGCATTCTTAATTCTGACTGTGGAGCACAGGAGGCAGATGAACCTGGACCTGCCCCAGCCGGGGGGACATACACCCCTTTCCTGGTTGTACCTGCTGGAACTGCAGCAGCCATGGAGACATACTTCTCACCTGGCTTCAAGTTGCTGCGGTGAGAGAGGGCTAGTGGTAGTCTTTCATACTGAAGCCCCAGCCCTACTCCAGAGCAATGATTTAAATGAAGCCTGGATCTTTTCCTTTTATTTCCCAAAACACAAAAATTAATAGTTAAGGATCTGAGCAGTCCTGGGTAAATCTTCTAGTTACCATACAAAGCAAGTAACCTATTCTAGAACGGATAATGGACTTTTACATACAATTTCTTTTTAAAAATCAAAACACCTTTCTTTCTATTGTGGTGCTCATCTGTTGTGTTCTTTGGAGGTTGGAGGGGAACTATTCTTATTAGAAAGTAATGAAAATTAACACCGGGTTCCTTAATTACTGCGTCTGGAGAGCCTGCGTAGAATACTTGGGGATTTGAGATTTTAAGGAGAGCTGCTGATTGGGACTATGATTTTTTCCCTCCACTCTTGCTAAGGGAGGGAGAGGAGGGGGGATGGAGTGCAAATCAGCAGATTTGTGGAACTCCAAAAGTGCTAGGAGGGAGAGTAAGAAGTGGGGGCTCCAGTGCCCCAGTGCACGAGAGACACGTGGGAGAGGGGGTCAGATGGGTCCGCGGGCTGCGGATTGCCCTGGTATATGTACATGCACACACATGTATAATAATGGACATATACTCTAATAGCCCTAGGAGCAAGAATCATTTGTGTTTTAAATGTATATTACACAAGAGGCGGCCGGAGTGAAAATTAAATGCTTCAGCTGGGACTGAAAGCTTCCCAAGGATCTGGGGTCAAATAACTGAGGCGCATTATTGTAACAGGAGGACCATGATACAATGGAGGCTGATCTGGACAAAGATGAGGTGATCCAGCCTCAGCTGGGAGAACTGTCAGGAGAGAAGCTGCTGACCACAGAGTATTTGGGGGTAAGAACCGCTCCCTGGGATTCTGAAATAATGAATGTGTTTGACTAGGCATTTGATTTTAACATTTCAGTCCACGTTTAACACCCAGAGGTTTCATTGTAGCAGCCGCCTGCTACATAGGAGGCTGTTGAGACTCAGCTCTTTGTGTGCCTGTTCAGCCCCAATTCCTTGCTACCTGTTGACAAGGGTCTCTCCAGCAGAAATAAGATAAGCTTGGGAAAGGGAAACGTCCATCCTTACTGAGCAGAAAGAGCCGTAGCCAAGACACGAAGCAAGCCATGGCAACTCTGTTCAGTGACATAAGGAACAAACCCGGGTCAACGCTCAGATTGTCTTCCTAGCTCTGCCCGAATGACCACAGTGGCCTATTTTCCCCTCTCTCTTCCCTCCTCTCTCCTCCTGTGTATTAGATAATGACCCACACGCCAAAAGTGAAGAAGAAGCTGTTTCCTGGTGTTCACCTGAGTGTAGACGAGCCTCTCCAGAGACCAGTCACCCCAGGCTATCACAGAGCTGCATACCCAACGTAAGTCTGGGCAAACAAGGCAGAACATTGGATTATTTTTTCTTAACTTTGAATTTTGCTCCAAAATAATGTAACTTGAACATACAAAAAATAAAGCCTCCATATTGGAAAGTACATTGCCATTGTCATTCTTTAAAGCTCCTCGCGTAAGATAATGGATGTTTGAAAAAGAAAGGGGGAAAAAACTGCAGTCAGAGCAGAGTCCATTGACCAAAGTCATGTACTTGGGATAACGGAGTGAAAATGTACAGAGCAGTAAATCCATCGTGTCCATTTTCTCCACCTGGCTATAGTAGTTCTGTGGATGATTTCCATGCATCAGTTGACATACCAGTGGCCCTTCCACTTCGTACGCCAGAAAATGTCATCTCACCCAGAGACTATTGCTACTCCCACGTGAAAGAAGGAATTAAAACAAACGTTACACGTGTGATAGATGCACCAGTTACTTAAAATAATGAGTAAAAGGGATCAGGTGGAAGGGAGATCTGTGACTTCTGGTTGCAGCTCTGTGTAGCTGAAATCAGTGAACTGATAGGCCATTGTTTTGCAGTTGAAAGTAAGAGACTTCCAGGCTCTTACATCTCCCCTATGGAGGAGGTAAAGGATTTGACATCGTCCTATCTCACGCCAAGAAACAAGTTTAACCAGTTTTTCTTCTTTCAGGTGCATGCAATCTTGGATTGTACCAAATTCAAATAGCTACGATACAGACTGGAAGAGTAGTCTGTCTTGCAGATTTCTGTGTGCACTTTTTAAACTGAGAGAATACCAATCATTTGTATTCAGATGGAATCAGTTACCTCAAACACCATCAGATCAACAACATAGTTACATATTTTTTTACTTAGTTCATGTTTTTTTTTTAAATTAGGAAGGAAAATGTGAAGTTGAAAACTGGGCATTTTAAAATACGAGTTACATTGTTTCAAGTCTAAATCTGCTTTCAAGTCCTCCAGTCATTTTTGTTTTTGTTTTATTTTCACTTTTCTATTTCTTAAAATGCTTTTCTTTCCCGTTGCGTATGGAAGAGCCACACGAATGAGGGAAACTGACTCTGAATGGGCAAACAGTAGAATTAATTAAACAAAAAGTAATTACAGAGAAAATATTTCACCTACAGTCACCCTGGGTGCTCTTTGTAAAAATAGCATTTTCAGGCAAGTTGTGATAATTTCTTATAAAGCTGTCTTTACAGTCACAAAGTTTGGGGAAGTGATATCAGTAGATTAACATATTTTATACTGAGTTTCTGCATACAGAGAATGTGCACTAAACCCAAAGGTCAAAATCACTTTGATATGAGCGAACGCCTCCTTTAATGCAAATTTTGTTTTGTAACCTCTATGTGCTGCTTGCCTATAATATGACTTTTGTGCAGTTTCTTTTATATTCACTGTCTCAAAATATTTATTCGATCAAAACAGTTACAAAGATAAAATATCAAAGCACAGAGTATGAGAAAATGGTAGAGGACAACATTTATTGTACATGTATTGCATATCTACAAAGACAATTAGGAGAACCTTGACAAAATCAGTTTCTAGTTGAGTGCATAACGTTTTCGCCATTTCAGAATGTAAAACCTGAGCATGATTTATCAAACAAGTAGACCCAAGATCTGATATTGGAAATATATGTGGCTACTCTGAGGAAGAATTTGGCCTGCAAGCTCCTATTTGTGCCCGTATACTATTCTTGGTACACTTCTAAAGAAACTGGGTGCTTTGCAATTACTGAATCTAGTTCCTCCTTACAGCATAAGCAGGGGGTACAGATTTTAAAGTATATGGTAAAAGAATCTTCAGAATGGTCTTTTTTTCCATATCCATAAAATCCCACATCTTAGCAAACCTTCTACATATGGCAGGAGAGGAGTGACCTAGTCATTATGTGGGCTGCTATTAGTAACACACAGATCTTTTTATTCTTGTTTTTCTTTCACTTCCCCCAGAAGGGCTATAGACCCACATGATGTCATCTGTTGAATATGTTTCTGAACATCAGATCAAAGCCATGTTACTGCTGGCTAACACCCTCAAATGCATTCAAGGGTTCCCTTTCCCCTGCAATTCCTGTGGATTCTACAGTAATGGGAATGCCTTGCTTTCATCCTGCTTTTTACCTGTAGTTCTCAAAGGCCACCAAAGTGACACAGTCTTATTATTCCATCCTCTAGATGGGGAAGATGAAGCATGTCATGCAGCAAGTCAGTAGCAGAGCCGGGAACAGCCCTGAGGTCCTCTGACTCCATTCCACATGCGCTCATCTCTAGGCCACAGCTGTTTCCTAGATGAGGTTAAATAACTCATGTCCATTACTCCCTCCCTCCCATGCAGTACTCCAGAACTGATCTCTTTCTAAAGAGGGTTCATCAAGGCTTCCTAGGCATCTCTGCCTGATATTGATTCCATGCCACCAGTTGATTGTGGCACAGTTTGAATGTCCTTATGGGCAGTGCCTCCTACCCTGCTCCTGTCTCCACAATGCCACTCAATGACCTGCTGCTGAGAAACCCTCTGGGTGCAAGCAACCATAGCCGAGGGAATAACGGCCTCTGCAGATGGTTTCTTTGCCCTATAGTACAAAACTGCAAATATTGTGTTTAGTTTTGCTTATTTAAAAACCGTGCAACATTTAATTTTCACTATTTCACTCTGATGGTAAAGCCCATGTGAACACAGTTAAGTACCAACCAAGATTAAAATAGAGAGCAGGCAATAGTAGCATGCATGAGACATTTCCATTTTACAATGAAACCCTCTCTAGCTAACATCTGTGTGCAGGAAAACTTGAGTAAACCAGCAATAACCACGTGTGGATTTTCACGACAAAAGAACAAGATCTAATGGAGTTTATACCCCACTAACTTTTTAGCAAATGAAATTGATTACTAGAGGATAAGCATGAATAGGATGCCATTTTTCTGTGAGCAAAGCAATAAAACTGATCAGAATTTAGTAATCCAGATATGAAGAGAAAGTCTTAAGCTGTATTTATTTGATTATAAATCACTTCAGTCAACTAGTGACTGTGTTGTATTAAACTGCTGTGGAGTATGACAAGTTAGGGGTCATAGTGGACCACAAGCTGAATATGAGTCAGCAGTGTGATGCTGTTGCAAAGAAAGCAAACATGATTCTGGGCTGCATTAACAGGTGTGTTGTGAGCAAGACACGAGAAGTCATTCTTCTGCTCTACTCTGCGCTGGTTAGGCCTCGATTGGAGTATTGTGTCCAGTTCTGGGCACCGCATTTCAAGAAAGATGTGGAGAAATTGAAGAGGGTCCAGAGAAGAGCAACAAGAGTGATTAAAGGTCTAGAGAACATGACCTGCGAGGGAAGGCTGAAGGAATTGGGTTTGTTTAGTTTAGAAAAGAGAAGATTGAGGGGGGACGTGATAGCAGTTTTTAGGTATCTAAAAGGGTGTCATAAGGAGGAAGGAGAAAACTTGTTCATCTTGGCCTCTGAGGATAGAACAAGAAGCAATGGGCTTAAACCAGCAAGGGAGGTTTAGGTTGGACGTTAGAAAAAAGTTCCTAACTGTCAGGGTAGTCAAACACTGGAATAAATTGCCCAGGGAGGTTGTGGAATCTCCATCTGTGGAGATATTTAAGAGTAGGTTAGATAAATGTCTATCAGGGATGGTCTAGACAGTATTTGGTCGTGCCATGAGGGCAGGGGACTGGACTCGATGACCTCTCAAGGTCCCTTCCAGTCCTAGTATTCTATGATATAGTATACATACATTTAAAGTGGATTAATGGCATTAAATCCTGTGTGGATATTCTTATTAAAAATTAGCCTGGCCTTCATTCAGTTTACACTTGACTATAGGGGAGCACTCAGAAAAATTACTTCCAGTTAATTAAAGGTGTGACTTAAAAGTGGATTACTTAACCGCTTACATGGATGCTCCCATTCAATATAAAAGAGGCATTTGCAAGTGAACTAAACTACACCAAATTAAGACCACTTTAATTCTGAAAGACAGTGACTTTATAGGGATATAATACAGTTTAACCAATCCTCTTGAATTGGAAGGTTTAGTTCAGTTGGATTAATTTTCCTGATTATCCGCATGTAGACAAGCCCTTAGTCTATGCTGTAAGGGGATGCACTAGCCAGGAAATATTGGAGAGCTCTTTTTAAAGATCTCCTACTTCATGAGAATACTCTGGGGGGACAAATTGTTTAATATTCCTCTGTCTGTTGCCTTAGAAACGGATTTAGCGGTCCAATTATTAACCACCTTCTTGGAAAGTCCCTTTTCGAACTAGACACATCTTAGCCTGATGTTGCCATGAATAGTCAATAAAACTCTCATCTGTGGGTAGCTTTCCTACCAACCACCTACTCTGTCCACCCAATCTGCCCTTACTGTTTCCTGTCTTGTCATCTAGTTACCAAGCAGTCTTATTCTCTCTCCTCTCTTTCAGCAGCTCTTCCCTCCTCCTAACAACCAGTCCCACCCAAGAAGTTAAGAGATCTCGTTTTACAGCTGTTCAGCTACAATACTGTGTTATGTTTCCATTTTGCATGGTGTGAATCCCCTGTCATACTCAGAAACACATTTTACACTCCTGAACAAGCTTGATGTGGGCAATCTGATTGACTCATTGGCACTGAGGGGGCCACTGGTATTTTTTCATGCCAGACTGTCACAAGACGTGGGTTCTTTCCCAAGCTATTTATTACTCTAGGAAAGCGTTAATTTTCAATGCATCTAACATCATCTGATGTCAGTAGTACAGTCAAAATTCTGGTAAATTGTGCCCCTGGCAGTGGCTTGCCACATAAAATACACCTTTCTATTTTTTGGGTGCCTTTCCAGGAAATTATATGGTATAAGCAGCTTTTTTAGGTTGTAGGTATTTATCACCCTGCATTCTCCTTTCTCCTCCAGGCCAGAAAATGATGCCATTTCTTCCCATGGCAGGGACTGCAAACTCCAGGCTATGCAGAACTGTCGTCCACCTACTCGTAGCGGTAGCAGATCCAGCATTTCCAACTTTGGTATTTCCTCTGCATGTAAGGATATTCTGAGAATGCTGCTGTTAATTGTTCTTTAAGCGGGTCGGACATTTGGAGAACAGGACGCCTTGTGGGTGTGCTGTGGAGTTCTATACAGTGTGCCTCTGACATGCTCTTTAGTATGCCAGGGTGAACCATGAGCCCCCAGCATGAAACGTTCCACCCTGATCCAAGCAGAACGGCCGTCCAAAGAGCGAAGTGTCCAGAAATGTAGTATGTAGTGTTGAATCTTGAGCAGCACAAGACTGTGTTCCACAGGCTAATGGTCCCAGCACGCAATGTTCCATTGGATTCAAATGGAACTGTAACCCACACAGCAAGCAGTGTTACTGCCCGGACCAAATAATCCCTTCACTTGGTCCTAAAGGCATTGTTGCTGGGACCTGTCATCTTTGTCTTCCCATCGAAGGAAGCGGTGGTCATTTGCACAACTACTCTCATATGGCAAATTGTGCTTGAGGAGGGGAACCACATAAGCTGCAGAGACATAAACAGGACAGTAAAACTTTTTTTTGTGGGGGGGGGGAGAGTACAGCATATCCCCCAGACCTTCTCCCTTGTGGCTACACCTGCACATCTGTTCTGTTTTATTTAAATGAGTTGTGGTCTTTAGCAGTGGTGGTGGGTATCATAGGCAGGGAAAGGCGTTGCCTTCTCAAACCACCAGGCCTGGCCCCGCCTACACTCCACCCTTAGAACGCCTATTGTAGACGTACTGAGGGTGGAGTGTTGCTGCCTCCGAGCGCCCGCCCTCCCCGTGCTCTGGGGCTGGGAGGCTGGGGCCGCAGGCCCTCCCCATGGTGCTGAGGCGGAGCCTGGGCAGAAGGGGCGGAGCTGGAGCAGGGCTCCGGGTTGCCTTCCCCAGACTTACCTTCACCCACTGCCCATGGTTTTTAGGCTCTTAGCAAGTTACCAGAGCTGCTCTGAGCTGGGCAGCATTTCCAGGCCCTATGGAGAAAACAGCATGGAAGGTGCTGCTAGAGATTCTTTCCTTGCAACTTGGAACGGACGCTAACTCAAACTCCTCTGGGCCTGCCTTTCAGAAGGGGAGGGGGTGTGTGGCTTACAGATCTGCATAGTGAGGTGCCAGCCAATTTCTGGGGGTAAGCTTGACCGTGTAAATTAGGGACTAACAGCAGAAGGTGCTGGCCAGTGCAGCATTATTAAAAAATCAGAGACTAAGATGTCTTTGCTTTGCTAAAAATGTGCTTTGAATCAGAGAAGAAATAGCTTTTTTTTTTTTTTTTTTTTTTAAATTTCCGAAAGGAAATGAAAGGGATTTTGAAAAGAGTAGCTGCGGTTTCACAGAGAAGAATTTACTTGCATAATGCACAGAGCTGATATAATAGGCTTAACCCAAGGGGTACAAAAGGAGCAGATGAAGTTCCAGCTTTAAGGCATGCATTTGAGGGTTCCATGTATTCCGTCATAAGGAGAGGCATGGTCTTCAAGCCTCAGATTTCATAATAGTACGTAGGCACAGAACAAAAACATTCTGCAGAGATCAGCTGGCCAGGAACAGCCGCTCAGAACATCAGATGTTATAAGTTAATAGGAAACCTGCTGGCTTGGCAGTTTTCCTGCATTGAGGAAAAAACAACCTCTTCAATATTCAAACTTTGTAAAGGAAATTAAGCAAATCAGACATCAAAAGTGCTGCTGTTTGCTGATTCAAAATGTCCGGTAGGATGAAACCCTCCATTGGATACTCATTTTGAGGAATAATCCCTTCTAGTTCTAAGGCATAGTTCAGTCTCAAGGAGCCCAACATGCCTTATAAACGGTGTATTTAGATATTATCTCACCCCTGAAATATGGCTATGTCTGGGGTGACTGTGCAGCAGCTGTTCCTTGCCAGTGACACTAGACAGCAGTTTGTTAGTAGGGGCTTGTCAAACAAGAGGAAATGTAGGTGAGAGCTGAATGTAAATGCTATTGTTTTATCTTGATTAGGATAATGAACGAATTCCCCCATCCTTGGAAATCATCACAGGTCATTATAGCCTTGGTACTATGTTTCATGTAAATCAAAATCTATTATTAGCTTCTAGCCAGATTGTGTACCTATGAATGTGTTTAATGTATAGCTTATCAAGGGAACTACGTGATTTCTTCTTGTACAGAGGAGGTCACTGAATGGGACTGTGTTATGTACATAGCCATGCACCTGTTATAAATATAATATTTTTACAGGTAAAGTAATTCTTTTTTGTGTAGCAGAATCGTGGCTCTTTTTTAATAGTCATGGAACTTTGTGGTAGGGTTCCCAATGGTTTGCTTCAGATATTGCTCATCTATTTCTCCCCTGATCTTTGGAATTCAGAAGGGAAGAGGAGATGGAAGAGGGTAGAAAAAAAAGGGAACTTGGTGCTTAATCCAGTTCCCATTGGAGTTGGTGACAAGACACTCACGGAATTCATGGACACTCATGGAATTCAGTGGAAGTTGGATTAGGTCCGTGGTGCGTTCCCATCTGTTTGCAACAGTGTGATCCTATGGGAAAATCTTACCGTGAAAAGGCTGAGCCAAAACCAATATGTAGAATAATCACATGAAACAACAAACCTACAAATCTTAGCCTACAGAACACTTTTGTCCCTTCCCAGTAACATATATTTCCATACGTATGGGATGATAATTTTGCTTCCTCTAGGAGCTCTATTGTGATCCAATACTATTGTTTTGCAGTAGAGTGTACAGCTAGTTAAGTTTTGCCCTTGTACTAGAAACCTGATTGGTTTTTTTTTATACATTCATTGTGATCAGCCCAGGGCTGCGGTGTCCCTGGGTTTAATGCAGTGGAGTTATGAAATGGTCAGGGACTGACCAATAGTGAACGTCTGGATGGGACAAACCATTCAAAAGTTGGATCAGTGTGATCCAGCATCAGCAATCAGAGTAACAAGTAAGGGCCTGCCCTTGCACCAGGACATTTTGCCCACTTTCTTAACCGCCTCTCAAACCCTTCCATACCTGGATCTTCAGCTACCTGGGAATCCCCCTCCTGCCTAGTAAGGATCTAACTCGAACCACACCCCTCCCATTTAGCAATATGATCAGAACATGGTGGGGATGACCTTCTGACAGCTGTTGGCAGCCTTAAAGTGGAGACCTTGTGACTTCAAGTCTGATCATTGCACAGAACGTGAGACGTACTAGAAAGCTCTTTCCAGCTGATCTGACCATGTCCCACTCTGTGTCCTGGTTTCAGCACGAGAGCAATCGCTTAAGTGAGCACCAACAGAAGATGCTCCAGGCGTGTGTGTTCTACAGCCTGTCTGTACTACCACAGGCTGTCAACCTAAGTTACGCAACTTCAGCAACATGACTAACGCAGCTAATGCCTACGTCCTTAAGTCTGCTTAGCGCAGGATCTTCGCAGCTGACGCGCTCCCATCCACTCCGCTTCTTCTCCATCAGTGCTTGACGCATTAAATAGATCACCACTGGATCGAAGACATGCCCTAAGTGAGGGAATTTAGCCACCAGCCTCTTTTCACTTCCGTTGAATTTGCGTGTCTAATGCCATCCACCTTTCTCAGAAAACTGACTTCGTGCACAATTCTGGTTTATTCATTCTAGTGCTGCACCCAGGGAGGGCAGTCCAATGTCATGAGCAAATGTCATAACTAACACGGTGCTGACAGTGGGGTCTTTAAGTGCCTGCTCCTTGTAGCCTATGAATTCCCACTGGCCTAATACAGAATGTGTAAGGGGTACTCAAATGGCTTAAGTGCGTTTACTTGCAATTTGGAAAGTGACACCTCTGGCTTGAAACATGACCTCTTTTCAAACAGCAGCTCATCGGAGGTTGTTCTCCGCAGGTCTCAGAATGGATCAGCACACCCCAGCAGTTACTGAAGACCCGTCAGCCCAATCCACTGAGTTCGCCCAGGACAGAGTTAATGGGCTATCATACAGGTATGATTATAAAGGGTTGCCAAGTATCAGGAAACAGGGAAGGAGTCCGTGTGGTTACCAGCTAATTCCATATTGTTGGGAAGCCAGTTGCCGTATGATGTAGTGTGGAGTGACACAGCTGTGCTGACACCTGCCAAACAAAATACTCTTCGCTCTGCCAGTGGCAGCAATTTAGTTTTAAAAATCTGAGCCAGAACAAAAGAAATCTAAAGCAAACAGATTTCATTTGCCCATAACCCTCAATACTGTCGCTGCAAATATATCCTGGTCCCATCCTTGGATGACTTACTGTGCAGAAAAAAAAATCATTTATTATAAAAATCGAGAGCCAGAGCCCTTGGGAACACGACAGGGATTAAATTGCAAAAAGAAGAGGATTTAAACACTAAGGTGGGGTGTAGAAATGGTTGAAAGATGCTGAGCTGACAGCCCTGCTGCCTGGAGCCTTTGAGTTTCCATTGACTCCAGACAGCCTCAGTGCAAGTTCTCCCATCAGAGTGCCCATGCCTAACCCGAAGGGATCATTACTGCTTGCCCTCGCTGCAAGGCTTTGTCATGAACGGCAATTGATTAGCTTTGGGGGTCCTTACCTACTAGGAACTGGACCTTGAAACCCACCATCTTTTTCCATACAGTCCCTCAAATGACCACGGGGTGGTAACAACTTTTGCTGATGTCGGACGCGGGACAGATTTAAAGCACTGACTCGGAGCAAGAGGCTATAGCGTGTCCGAGGATAGATGCTGAACGGATAACGGTGTGGATCCGTTAGGCTTGGTATAACTTCTTCCCATCTGGGGCCAACTTTTAGATGTCCTGGACCATGGACTTGAGTTGCAGTCGACCTTCTGAGAATTGGGCTCCATGGCTGGAGCTTTCTGTTTCTCTGTTGCATGAGCTCCCAGTTTTTTCCTTAATTTCTCAAGCCCCATTGAAGAGATCTGAGAATTTTCTGCTGCCAACAGTTTAGCGCTGCTGGGACGTGTAACGGTCAGATTCTGTTGCTCCGCAGCCGCGGTATTATTTGTATTTCTGAATTGCCCGTCTCCGTGGTAACGGAGGAACCATTACAAACTTAAATGATTCATCAGAAGGAAGTGCAAGGATCCACGGTTCCTCCTTTGCATCACACAAAGCCGGCTGTCTCTCTCTCACGCTGGAGTGCAGCAAGGTGCGAACTGACAGCATCCTTCCCCCTTCTCAGCACCCTGCCTGCACGCACAGCTGTTCTCTTGTTTTACACTAAAAGTGAAATCTCACCCATGATGAGATTTTTCTCCCTTCCCTCCCCCCCCGTTGGTAGTGATTTGTATGTACAAGAGCAGCCTGAAGTGATGGCTCTTGGAATGTAGCCATTTGAAAAGCAAACAATGCGCTGGATTTTCTGCATCAGAGGAGCTAAATCAATCCGGTGCTTCTGCAGAAGCCAGGCATGCCTTTTGTTCCAATATCTCGTTTCCTCAACTGGCTAAATACTTCAGTACACTGGTTCTAACAATGAACAGAAGAGTGAATGTCCCTGCTACATACATGCCAACACATGTATGGAAAAATATGTACTGAGAATTGTTCTATTTCCATGCCAGGGACCCTGGGCCTAATCCCTCTCTTGCTCAGAGTAATGGAGATCTGGAATAACCCCACTGAGGTTAATGAATTTACACCGGTATTAAACCAAACTGAGAAACAAGTGAGGTTCAATGGCTCTGACAATTCATCTCGCAATGGCTTTATTTCCATTGCCACAGATTTTGTTTTAGCTCATGGATGACGACCTGACAGTTGCCCATTGTACATTTATTAATATGCGGCTTCCGATTGGCTCAGTATAGACTGCGGCCATTTGACTAACAGGTCTGTTGTGGTTTTAGCCAATCAAAAACTATTTTAGTCCTAATAATTCAATAGTAAACTGAACACTTCTAAATCAGCTGGCTTCTGACTGGCTGAAGATGTATTTATATTTGGAGAAGAGCAAGTGTAATTATTGCGGGGCGCGATCCACCCATTAGCTAGAGACTAAGACCTCTATGCATTAGCTTTATGCATGGTGCCCCCAAGGACACTTATTGACTGAGATTTATAAACTACCCCACCTACATCCAGGACGCGGCGGGTTACGCCTATTGCTTTTAACGTGGCTTATGCGTTCTTGTTTCCCTTTGACCTCCGAATTCACTATCCCTATTATTGTAAACTTACACGTGTCTTAACTTTGAACATTTGCTTCAATACCACTTTTCAATCTGTTATTTTAGTATCTTATGTCCTTCTTTCAGCACCTGCAGAAAAGAGAGGACGTTTGGATACCTCCCTAATGTCACATTTTTAATTGTCTAGTGAAATTACCTAGAAATTCAACTTTGGAGAAAACAAGGCCCTGCTTAATCTGCACGCATTCAGACACTACCACATCTCTTGATTGATCCTTGAATTTATTATGCATATTTTCTTCTCCAGTTGTTTCTCTGGCTTCAGGCTGCTTGCTACTGGGAAAGCAAATGGATTTGTTTCTTCTAGATCAGACCTGGGCAAAATAGGGCCTGTGGGCCACATCTGGCCTGCCAAGCCACTGGATCCAGCCCACGGTGGCAGTGGGGAACCCCAGGCAGGCTCCCTTGCTTGCACCGCAGCCCTGCACGCTGCTCAGAAATGCAGCTGCGGGACACTTTCTCTTTGAGTCTGGAGGGGAGGGGGGAAGATCCAGATGCTACTCCCACCCCCAGCACAATCCCATTGGCCAGTTTCTAGACACACTGGCCAATGAGAGATGCCTGTTTGAATAACAGGCAGCCACAAAGCACAGCCCTCTTGCTCGCTCACTCACTCAAGCACATGGCCGAGCAGGCAGAAACATTCTAAGCTCTGCAAGTCTTGAGCCCTGCAGGCAGGCAGGCTGGTAAGTCTCTTGGCAAGAACCTGCCTCTGGCACCTTAGCCCCTCCCTTCACCAACCCTCTGCCCAACAGTCCTGCCCCACTACTCCACATGCACCCATACCCCCTCTCAGATTTGGCACCCCAATCTCCTGCTCCAGATCACAATCCCCTCCTCTCCTAGGTCACATCCCAAACCCCTGCACTCCAGTCCCCTGCCCGAGGTCACAACCACCTCCTTCGCCCAAACTCCCTCCCACACTCCAGTCTCCCTCCTGCACCCCAATCCTTTACCCCAGCCTCCACCCCAGCCTCCACCCCGACCTCCCTTCTGCACCCAACCTCCATCCTAGACCCCGCACCTCCTCCATTAATACCATGGAAGAGTGCGGCCACTTTCCAAAATCATGGAGGGGGCACCCCATCAAAAAATATTGCCCAGCCTGATCTAGATGCAGGGTTAAGTTCCGATGACATGCTAAGGTGATGTGTACTCTGTATGGCAGTATGTTGTCATAAATAATTCCTTTGATGGAAGACAAGGTGGGTGAGGTAATATCTTTTATTGGACGAGTTTCTGTTGGGGAAAGGGACAGACACAGAGCACTCTTTCAGCTCTGGAAAAAGATGCTCAGGTATCACAACTAAAAACAAGGTGGAACAAATTGTTCAGCGTAAGTAGTTAACGCACATTGTAAGAGACTATTCAAGGTGAAATGGCCAGGTAACACCTTGGCATTTATAGAACAAAAGAGGAGGCACTGCTAATTATTTTCCCATGACTTATTAGTCGTCATCACCTCTGTAATTAAACTCTAATTATTATACACACAACAGCCAGTTGCTATGCTAGACAATAGGAGATCTTTAGCTAATTCTCTTTTCATTGGGTTTGGGGTATTTGATATTTGACGCAAGGCTGAGGTCCAGTGCACATGTGAACACCTGGGGATCTACTATAAACACTTGCCATATATGCTCCATGCAAGGGCACCAACAGCCTCTGCGGGCCCCTGGGTAAAGTGGGGGAAGGTATTCCCGTAAGAGGCGGAGCATTGGGCAGAAGGGTGTCGGGAACTCGAACCCGGACGGCCTCTGTTCGTTGTCTGACCGCAAAGAGACAGGCAACACCAGCAAGATCCAATCACAAGCTCTTTATTGAATGGTGCACACAACAATAGAGAGCGGCCCATCTCCAAAGAGAACCAGCCCCGATTTCATTTACAGGTAGGCCTATATAGACAGTTCCGTCGCGTCATAGACTATTCGCCCAAGCAACCCACCCCCCTTTATCAGTTAGAAACCTCTAATACCCATGCACACCTGGCCAACTATACATCATGCCTTAAGCAATACATAATGCATCAGCAATTTCTTATCAGCCCAAAAGACAGGTACTGGGCAGCAAGGAGACAGTTTGCTATGGCCAAAGGAGAACAGAAACAGGGAGTTTGAAACGAACAGGGAGAGCAGAAACAGGGAGTCTCCTTATCAGTTCTCAAAACAAAGTGTTCCTCATCACAGCAGGTCCAAAAATGCAGCTTCTTGCTTATCTCATTTTGCCAACTTGAGCAAGCGTGTAGGGTGCGTCCCTGCTTGAACCTATCTCCAGTTCTGTCCAGGGACTACCCAGAAACTTTTGATACATTTGCTTTAGCATAACTGCACTAGGCCTATTTTTTCTAGGGCCTAACAAGGGGCAGGGCCGAACAGCCCTCCATGCCACCCGGAGTGTAGCATAATGGCAGCGTTCCAGCAGCAATTTAAAGGGCTTGACAGCAGGCGGGAGCCCCAGGCCCTGGTGCAACTACCCTTTTACTGCCTCTCTACCCCATGGGTAGGCCTGGCTCCATGGATTTAGCTTTCAGCATGAGAGGTTTTGTATGGGGCTGTGCTCTTTGCATATTTATTGCCTGGCCTCTCCTGCTTGTTCCTTTGCAAAGACATGAATTTTGATTGCGCTGTTTTGCATTGTTTCTTAAGTGTGCTTTTTACAGTATAGCTATTCAGGTTCCTCTATCTAATCTCCAGGGAGATCTTTAATGGCTGTTCAAGGGCTTTTTAACATGCCGAATTTAAAATCTAGACTGTTGTTAGAGAGCCTGCGGACTGAGGAATAAGAGAGCTTGCTTTCTGTTCAAAGGGTGCACAGCTGGTTTAGGGCTTGTTTTGGGTTGTCATTAGTATCCTGATGATTATCCACATCTGAGAAATGTAACAAACACATCACTGGAATATCAAAAAGGAAAGGAGTTGAAACCAAGAGATAAAAGTTGCAAACAGGAGATGCCAATGAAACTGTTTTGTGGACAGAAACATTCAAATTGCTTCTGTTGGTTCTAAGCCCCTGTGATCTTTTGTAAGGGAGGCTTGGAATTTTGTTTTGGCCAATCAGAGTCCTCTTTTTTTAAAAGTTTTTTCCC